AACTATTTAATGATTATATGTATATATATGTTACAGATTTGTTTTTCTTTTTCGCCAAGGCAAAATTGAAAAGAGTATCTGTAATGTAGAGGCCTAATTCTCTCTTTGATTATTGGCCCTACCCACTGCTGTGGACTGCAGTTTCACCTATTTAAGGCTCATCAGCACAGTTTGGGCTAATCAAAAGAAATGGCCAATCAAAGAAAGCATTGTACCTCTACATCACATATTCTCTTTTCAATTTTACCTATGGTGAGAAAGAAGAAATCTGTGACATGTATGTATATACACAATCTTTTATTATGTTTAACTGTCTTTTTTATCTTGTTTCTACCTTGCAAACTACAAATATTAAATAGCTGCGGTGATGGGGACTGATATAGCTCAAAACTTCAGTACTCATCTTGTCTTGGCATGAGTTTTTTTTATCTGAAATTAACATGTGTGTTTCATATTCAAAGTATAAAACAGTTTTTTTAGGGTTATTGTTAATTTTATCATACAATATATATATATATATATATATTACCTTTTTCTTTTTGCAACATACAAGATCTTTTTCACACAAACTTGGAAGAAATATTAAAGTGGGTAAAGTTTGGAAATATGATTAGTAATGATAAATTTATAAAAAGTCATTGTCATATTCCAATTTGAATCTTATTCAAAAAATTAATTTTTACATAAGTTCATATTTTTCAGTCAATATGAGAATAAGATTATTGGAATTGAAAGATTTATGTTAGTTATTTATTTAAAGGCTACTTATATTAACTTAGATTTGTAACAGTTGTTCATTGTTTTACAGCCTTTTGATCATTCTAAGAAGATTGCCAAATATTACTGGGCAAATGCAGTAAGTGACAAACAGTTTTATTTTTTCTTCAAATAATTTCAGTTGAAAGTGTGGCTTTGAGTTATCTGTTTTATGTAAAGGAGAAATTTATTACATATAAATGTTTCATTTATATGTATGAAATAATGTTTGAAATAATTTTTAGGTTTTTGATTAGAAGTGTGGTGTTTAAAACTTATATCAGACAGGCAAGTTGTAAGTACTGCATCTACAATAAAAGCAGATTTAGTAAATGTTGTTCAAAAAATAAATGAACTAGAATAGCAAAGAAAGATTCCCATACAAATGAACAGATGCAAACAAAATTAGCAGTGATATCTGACTTAGTCTTTACTAAAGTGGTCAATTTTGATGTTTGTTATATGGCTGCATTTTGGTGCTTTAACTTGAATATAACCTACACCACCACAGAGCATTTATATAAAAGCAGATCAAGCAAGAATAAGCATTTACAAACTGACCTAATGGAACAGTAAAATATAGCAGCTTTCAACTGCAACAACTCCTTCCTTATCTTAAGGGGTTTGTAAGCCTAAACTTTAAAATATGTTAGAAAGGCCAAATTATAGTTCTAACTATGAAAGTTAAAATTGTGAAAATTAGTAAATACACACAAGAGTTCATGATATTTATATACACAAAAACAAAGAAAAACACAGTCTCCAACAGCTGAAATAAAATTAAAATGAGGTAACAAAATTAAATAAAACCAAGTACAAAATTGAAGCAACATCAGGATATTAACTCTTTCAGTTTGGGCTCAGTTCCTGGGACTGACATCATAACTAATTTGTGCTTGTTATAGTTTTCATGCAATAACTTTTAAATTAGTAAGTGAATGTTAACAAAATTTGGTACATTATCAGTAAACATTACAATGCTTTCATACACAAAATATCAAAGTTTTTTATTAAGTCTAAAGGTTTGTAAAGCAATGTTTTTCTCATGCCTTTTCTTTCTTTTCACATGTTGCCTATCTAACATGCAATAGAATTTTCATTTTAATATTAAAAATACTTTTATGCATCAGAACAAATTCAACTTTCACATGCGAAATCTGTATAATGTCCAGATAGTCATCAAACATTTCTTAAGTAAAAACTTTATATTTTATCTGTTACTTTCAGTGATGAATCTCTGTATGGGTTTGGTAGGTTTGACCAACCTTGTAACCACCATAAAAAAATTAGGAAATAAATATAAATTATGCCTCTTTCATTTTAGAATGAACACAAATTATAAC